TCCAATCCCAACTCCTCTAAGTCCCAACTGAATTTCAAAAGGTCAGAGGTACATACCACACATGAATGTTGGACAGCATTTCCCTGGGTTGATATTCTTCATTAGCTGAGGAGGGGTACAAGTCAGGGGGTGGATCGTACAGGTTTCTGGTTTACAAACCAACTCGTATTTATCACAGAACCCGTCATCGGTCTACACAATACGAGACACCTCCCCGGGCATCATGAGAGGTTTGACGAGAGCTTGGTAGTGGACAGAATCAGAATCTACGGACAAAATTAGATTATGTTGCTAATCTGAACACTAAAAACTGAAGAGCATACAGCAAGTAGGAAAATGACATGGAGCCACAATTCGGCCTATACATGTTTAAGATTGCCTCACATTCCACTTTTTAAGTTTGATACATGGTCAGATTCGTTTGATATTTTATATAAGTAAGCATATAATTTTCCAGATTTTAAATAGACTTTACTCAGAGGGCTGAGGAGATGGCGTTGTGACATAGGAAACAACTGAGGTATTGTTAGCTGAAAAGGGGGAAACCACTCAATCATTATATTGTGTTCATTTCTCACTGTTTAACAATGCATATCATTTTAAAGGGCTATTCCAGCAAATGAATTCCCTGGGAATTGAGAGTTGGCGAGCAATTCTTTGGAATTGATGTAACAATTGATATCTACATTTTTCAATAATACATAATGGAAGCAAACAGAAGACTACTACCACATAATCGTTTATTTACTAATACCCACTCATAAGCAATGACTCACAAAATCAGTTATTTACTAATAACTTCAGTTTTTATCCAGATCTGCATAAACATTTTCTCAGATTTTTAAAAAGCAGAGTTCTTGTTCTTGGTAGGATTATCGATCAATCTTAGTAAAATGTCACAAGTTCAACTAAAACTCTAGAAATATTCACTATTCTTTTTGCTTGTGTGGGCATCTTTCTCTCTGCTAAGGGTAAAATATGTTCACTGAAATTAAGTCATCTGCCCATTTCACAACATTATTTGATGGGAATGATTTTATGAAACTGTGAAGTTTCCAAAATAATTTGGACTTTGGATGAATGAAAACAAACAAATCCACAGTCTTCATATCTTTATTAATATGCTACAAAAATTAACAATTATTTACCCTTAATAACCATTTACAAATCTCAATTGAGCCAATTAACAGTCACTGATGCATCAAAATTTTTCTGCATCACCAACCATGCTGAAAAAAAAAAAAAAAAAAAACAGCTGCCAAACATGCCCTATGGTATTTTGCAGGAATAACACTCACTATACATCACTTATTACAAATTTTAAAAAAAACCCATACAATTTAAAACATATCCAGCACCATACAGGTGAACATTAATTTGAACAAACGAATGTCTAATAGGTTTTTGTGAAAATGTTGTATGTACATGTATTTTACAGATTTTTAGCACAAATAAGAAGTTGTAGCTTTCAGCATATTTGTTTTAATTTATATGAAATAATTTTTTACAAAAGATATTGTTCGAATATCGCTGAATTTTCTATTGAACAATAGCAAATTGTCAAAGGGAGACATTTCAATTCAACATCTTCTTATTATTATTTTGGCCGATACACGGATAAAATACTGTCGACTCGGCATTAATATGCGGGTTTATGAGTAATCATTAAACAGTCACTCAGTTAATAGAAATTTATCATAATAGATGTCTGTCAGGTGTTAAACAGCATTATCTCATCCTCGCTAGCTACGGGTTTCCAGTCCGAAATCTATTCTGACTAGTTGTGGAGGTGGAGGTGTGAAGCGGATGGGAAACCCTTGCCTAGCGAAGATGGCAGTATCTTTACACCTAAAGGTACATGTTGACTACTAAAAAGAATCAGCACGTTTAAAAACCCATGAAAGATTTTTTTTTTTTGCTAAAGGCGAATTTATACAAAACACATCGAAATGCATTATTTCTTTTCTTTAGAATGGATTTAAAACACTTTTTTTTTTTACATGTAACAATAAAATAGTTTACAAGTGAGTCTAAGAACTTGCATGTTGGACGTAGGGGTCAGTACTCGATATTTTTCCCAATGGTGTCCGAAGTATTCCGATTATTTGTGGAGCAAATCAGGCAGTACATATTTTATTGTAATTTATAATTACAAAGGATTGGGCACAAGTTCTGAAAACTTATTACGCCCTCTCCCTACATGTAAATTACACGTTAAATCGTCACAGTTAAACATGAAGTTTTTAAAGTATACAATATTTGTAAATGTTTACAAATTGATGCGTTTTGCAGATATATACGAGATACGTAGATACACTTAATTTTGAACAAATGCATATACTAATACATTAAGTAATGCTGACAAGGAAATCTACCAGAATGAATGTTTGAATAAAAGAAAAGAGACGTTCATTCTCTGCAGCATTTTATGAATCTAAGCACCCCCCCCCCCCCCCCCCATAATAAGACGTGTATCAGGCAGTACTCTTTAGAGGGTTTCTATGTAAATGCATTAATTGTAGCCGTATTTATTGAGAAATATAGAAAGTATTTCCACAATTTTTCCGATTTATCAGATTTTATGACATGATGAATTTTATGAACATGCGGAGTGGATGTAGGCGAAAGCCTGTTCACTTCTATAAGAGAAAAGCGTATTTATATCAAATTTAATCAAACTTTAAACAGGAAATAAAGTCAAATTAAGAAACATGGTATACAATAAAATTAATCAATTACTCAGGATCTATCAGGAGTTGATGCGTAGTGGATATACAGATTTTTCAATATCCGCTTTCGTGACTGCGCCGTTATCCCTATGATCATCATTTAATTAAAATATACAAATTAATGGCAGAAAAAATCTTTAATTGATTGTGTTTGTAAAAGTTATACGATTCTGACCGAAAAAAATGAACATGTAGATCAGAAAGGAGAATAAACAGATTGTCTCAATATAATTTGGCTGCATTTTGTTAAATTCCGTATTAAAAAAAAATCTATTTTTTATTTTGCGACATTTTATAGTTTACTGACATTTATAGTTTTATTTTCCGAATTTTATGGAAGAGTACATTTCATTTAATAGAACTGAGTCTGAAGACTTTCTTTATTGAAAATCAAAATCTTTAAACAATAAATCATTTACATCAAAATAGGGTAAAAGTTTTGCTTTGTTTTCAAAGAAACCAGTGTTAATTTTGAGATCAGTATCATATGTCTCGGACATAAATTAGGTGCAATCACTGACATAATATAATTCAAGTGTAGTTGACTTTTTAGACCGATCGAGTATACATAAACTTGGTAGACATAAGATGCATATTAAGTCCCCCCCCCCCCAAAAAAAAAAAATCTGGAAACGTAAAAAAATATCGGAAATGCTGAGCATAATTCCGGAGATGAAATGTAGTGAATAATTTCTAATCAGTCCTTATATTAAACAAGCTGTTGGTCGAAGAAAAAAAAATGCTGAACATAATTCCGGAGATGAAATGTAGGAAATAATTTATATAGCTGTTGATCGAAGATGTGTACCCCCCCCCCCCCCATTTCGGGCAAGGAATGGAGTTTTAAGCGCCTAAATGCATTGTTCCTCATTCATTTATCTAAGGGTAGTGCAGATCGAGGTAGTAAATAAGTCACGAGTTAACTGCCCATCCACAAGACGGATGTCAAATGTCTTTTCTGGGTAAACATATAGCTGGTGGAAGAATCACATCGGACCACATCGTCGTCCTCTTCTGGAAAGTTTACTTCGCCTGAAGTTTTTCTTAAACTTATTATTTCTAGTGTATGCAGTGTAGACATACATGGACCTACAGTGTATGTTTATATTTTCTTAAACTACATGCGAAAGCGGCTGATAAGTGAATATGTATTTAATGTACTGACAATATAAATGTACTCAATGCGAATCAAGGAATATTCCTAAGGGACTCTATACCCACTGATAAAACTAATAATAAGACATCACATGTCTTTTATTTTGTATCCGTTTTTTCGTCCAGTCCTGTTTTTAAAAATATCAAACAAGTATCCAATGTACTTCCATCAAATTTTCCCGGATACCTTGTTTTATCTAAATATACTTATATTGTTGGAAATCAAGACATAAGTGCAACACTTTTTTTTTACGAATATTGGAAACGTTGACTTGAAAATGAAATCATCTAAAGTTGAATTGACCTAAACATGAACATTTTACTTCATTTTTCATCGTGATATTGTCGTTCCTTTTTTTAGCCTTTATTTTGTATATGAGTATTCTGTTTGAATGCTGTGTAAGGCGAAAAAAAAAATAAGGTTGTATTTTTTACGAATTCGAATTTAAATCGAACAAGAAAAAAGATCACATGTAAATTAGAACAAGGCTTTATTCTATGAACAAAACCTCTTTTCTCTTCAGCTGTACTAGTATGAATTAACTTCTTCTTTCGTATTTTTATCTGTTCCTTCTGTCAATTTCTGCACACGCTTTTATCAAACAGTTATATAAAAAAACTTTTCATTTGTCGAATAATTTGATGAATTCTAGATCAAGGGTCCCATCTCAAACAAGATTTGGAGACTTCTACATCACCAACCCAGTGGTTCAAATGGTGAGCTTATTTAGTGTCAAAAGAATGTCGCGCACCCGAAGTTTCGTAAAATAAATCGAACGACTCGGACATATTAAATGAGGAAAAATATTCTTATTTTTGAAATATTTTAGAATAGAATTACAAAAAATTTATTATCTAATCATTCATTATCATGCTATCGAAAATTTACGCGTTATCAGAGCAGAAAACGTCAAAAACGAAATGTGCGTTAAAGTGCGTGACTGCGGGGTTAAGGTATATGCGTTAAAATGTGTGATTGCGGGGCAACGGTATATGCATTAAAAAGCATGACTGCGAGGAAGTGGGTTAAAAATTTCCACACTAAAACCATTTTTTTAAAAAAAAAAATGTACAATGTTTGATAGTTTTTAACCCCCCATTGAATTTTTAAGGTGGAAGCATTGACAAGATTGAGTGTGTTACCTCTGACGGTGACATCCCGTCCTACAGCTCAGGCGAGATGTTGACGTGTTACCCTGAAAGCGGACTTGTGTGCAGGAATGCCGACAACTTCCCCGTACCATGTTCTGACTACAAGATTCGGTACCACTGTCAGTACCGTAAGTACTTGTGAACATCTTCCTACTTCATAGTGAAAAGGAAACTGGAAAGTGTTTCACTTTTGCATGCTGTTGTCATAAATATCCCATTTCTTGCAAAATTTATGTCCCCACTTTATCCAATCAAAATGCAAACTCCTGTTTGACTAGTAGCTACAAAATCAGATTTTGAAACCAGTAGCATTGCCATACTCCATTCCAGGTCTCATCATTCCAATGTTTAAGAAAACGTGCTAGGGTGTAACTTTCATTATAGAAAAAAATGTGTTGCTGTAAAGCGGTTTAGCTTTTATGAGATCCTAATCTAGGTTAACAATATGTCATCAAATTGAATGTGACATCATATTCATTTCAGCTGGTGGACCAATACCAGGTAAAAATGGAAGAGCCACCCAAGTCCCAACCAGTCCCTGACCACAAAGAATACACCATCCAATATTCCAACAGTCTGTAAAGCCTCAATGGGAATGGAGAGCAAAGAAATTCGTAATGAAATGATCACTGCCTCGAGTTTCCGTGATGCCAATAGCAGCCCAGAGAAAACTTGTCTGAACACTAACGGATTCTGGATGCCAGCTACAGACACAAAGTCGGAATACCTACAGATTGACTTCCTACAGCAGGCATACTTAACTGGTGTCACCACCCAGGGCCGTCCTGATGCTACGACTTATGTTACCTCATACAAAGTTCAGTTCTCCACGGACGGAAATAACTGGAATACGTACAGAGAGGCAGGGGCAGAGAAGTTAAAGAAATTTTTAAATAAATCCTGATTTTATGCCTTACTAGTAGTTGCCTACATTTAAGGACATATGACATATTCCTCAATAATATATAATTTTTTCGAAGAATTTGTCATTGAAGTATTGCTACTTTATTAACTTCTCTCACAAAAAATTATGGTACCTTACCAGGCATTTGTGCAAGATACCAGAGGATGCTATTCACTTTATAATCCTACTGGAAATCACTAGCATTGCCAATATCACAATTTTTTGGTGTCTATTTCTACGTAGATAAAAAGTTCTTTCAAAGATTAAACTTTATAAGAATTGTATTTTATTTTGAAAATTTTCAGTGCAAACATTGATTCCTCCACACCAGTGACGTATTACTTTACCAGTCCTCTTCATGCCAGATTCTTACGAATCCTTCCACAGACATGGCAAGGAAAAATAGCGCTGAGGGTTGAAGTTTTCGGCTGTCCCGTGACCTATCCCAGTATGTCTAGTTCCAAAAAAGATATGAAAATCTGGGTTTTTTAAAAAAAAATTATTAAACAAGTAGATTTAACAAATATTTCCATTTTTAGCAACCACCCCGCTACCCACTCCTAAGCCTACGACTGCATTGACACAGGCCCTCAAACCTAGAGTCACTTTTACCATAAGTAAGTTATAATCTTATTTTACATCTTGTTTCTTTCATTAGGACATACGTGTATTATTTTATCCGGCCAAAGAACTTTTATCATTTTGGTGATACATGTACATGGAATAGGAAATATAAAAATTACTGCTTTATTTCATTATTCAACAAACTGAACTATTGAGAATCATTAAAAGTGAATTTCCATTCCAAAGAAAAAAGCTAAACTAAGATATAATTTCAACTTGGTTTTAAAGAAATTATTTATTAAGTTATCCAAATTTTACAGGACAATCTTGTGTCCAGTATGATACCTGGGTTTATGTGGGTCACAACACACCTGGGTCTACAGGTGACAAGGAACCAATTGACAAGGTGAAAGAGCTGTCACACAATTGTTAGAATCCACTCCAGATTCAGTGCCAGACCGTAGGGGGCATGTGGCCTATGACCAGAGGGGACATATCGTCAGCTGTAACCTGTGGGAGGGTCTGACTTGTAACAACATGGACCAGTTTGACCCCACAGGCTGTTTGGACTACAGAGTCCGACTCGGTTGTTTAAAACAGACTTCAGAGTGTGGTATGTAACTATTATAAAAAGGCATTTTTCTTACAGGTAAAAATGTGGGTGTTTTTCTACCGTGCCAAAAAAAAAGATGAAAGGAGCAGTGACTTAATGATTAATTAAAATTGAATTCATTTGTATTGATATAAACAAACCCCAACATAATCATTGTTTTATTGCGAAATAAGTGTTTAGTAGGTCGTGTATAGTTCAGAATTTTACTGTCGTTTATCTTGAAAAATGTGAAAGGTTGCCAAAATATATTGTCATTTTAAAATATTTCTCTCTACAGTTCCAATGCCCAACACAAACCTATATAAAACAGTGGCACCCGTTTTGAACCCTCATGTGGTTTCATGCTTTGAGGGACTAGACACCTCCCAATGTCCGAACTGTTCTGCTGGTCTCTACTGTGATGGAATGAGATGTGTGAAGAAAGCCGACTGTACATGTCAATACAATAACAAGATTATCATGGTAGGTCCACTACTGTTAATGTGTATTCAAAGAGACCTCTAAATCAAATGGGGTAGATTTTATAGAGGGGGATAGAGGAAACCAGATAGATTTAACTCAAAATTAAATAGATCTTTTTCAGGTCACCTGAACCACTCAGGTGACCTATTGCTATCTGTTTTTGTCCGTCGTCTTGCATAGTTTTTGAAAATCTTCTTCTCCTGGGTATTAAGCAAACAAAGTAAGTGCATAGTTATGATAGCAAGGGATCCTCTTCCAAAATTTGTGAATTTCAATGGCCACTGGGCTAGGAGTTCTGGTGTTAGGATGGGGGCTCTATTGATTATATAGTAAAAATGTATTGATTCTTTGAAAATCTTCTTTGCTTCTTTGTATTTAGCAGATAAAGTAAGTGCATGGTTATGATGAGCAAAGGCGCCTTTTCAAAAATTGTGAAATTTGTTGCCCATGGGTAAGGGGCTCGAGGGTGGGACTCTATTGATTATATAATGAAAATGCATTTTACTCAGGTGACCGTTAAGGCCCTTGGGCCTCTAATTTCATTAGATGAACACAGGCCAATTTGATTTTACTTAAATTTTTTTGTCGTTGTAGAAATCGGACATTGTCACAACAGATATGTGTGAGACTTGTCAGTGCTACAGTGGTGAACTAAGATGTGTTCCTAAGAGCTGCCCACCTTGTTCTGCTGTACGTGTGTGTCTCAGAAAAGGTCTTAATAGGTCATTGATTTATATAGTACATATAAAATATACTCTCTTTTTCCCTACATGAATATGTGAACTGTTATTCTCTAATCTTTGTTTCTTTGTTCATTTTGCAATTCAGTAAATTTTGTTTATAAGATGAGTCACTGGGACTTTGAATTTTCCTTACTAATATCTAAGATTCTTTATATCTGTATAAGGAACAAAGTGCGAAGTCTTCTGCTGGATTTATAAATGTATCTATATAACCAATGCTTCCTTATAACTGAGTTGTACTGTATCAAGGAACTTTGAAACATGTAATGCAAGTTGCAGTCTTTGTCAATTACGTGTTTCTTTCATGTACAGGGTGAAACAAAAGTAGTCAACATGACTAGCTGTAGCTGTTCGTGCAAGACATGTGATGCGGATATTAATAAAGTTATGAAGACTGTGGTTTTGTTTGTTTTCTTTCATAAGAAGTCAAAATTATTTCGGAAAGTTCACAGTTTCATAGAATCAGTTCCAACAAATTAAGTTGTGAAATGGGCAGAAGACTTAATTTCAGTGAACATATTTTACACTTATCAGAGAGAAAGACTTGCAGTAAAGATGTCCACACAAGCAAAAAGAATAGTTAATATTTCTGGAGTTTTGTTGAACTTGTGACATTTTACTAAGATTGATAGATAATCCTACCAAGAACAAAAGGTATACTCTGCTTTTGAAAAATCTGAGAAAGAGTTTTTATGGAGATCTGAAGAGAAACTGAAGTTATTAGTAAATGACTGACTTTGTGAGTCATTTGAGTGGGTATTAGTAATATAAATAAATGATTATGTGGTAGTAGTCCTATTTTTGCTTCCATTATGTATTGGTGAAAAATGTAGATTACAATTGTTACATTAATTCCAGAGAACTGCTCTCCAACTCTCTATTCCCATGGAATTATTTTGCTGGAATAGACCTTTATAAAAATACTGTGCATTAAATTGTTAAACAGTGAGAAATGAACGCTATATAATGTCCTTTGTAATGAATGAATAATTTCCCCCTTTCAGCTAACAATACCTCAGTCGTTTCCCCTGTCACAACACCAGCCCCTCAGCCCTGTGAGTAAATTCTATTTCAAATGTGGAAAAAAAATATATGCTTACATATATAAAATGTCACAACGAACCTGACCATGTAGCCTATTTTTATAGTGTTACGTGAAATGTTAGGCAATCTTAAACATGTATAGGCTTAATTAAAGTGGATCTATGTCATTTCCTACTCCTTGCAGAATGTTCTTCAGTTTTTAGTGTTCTGATCAGCAATATATTCTAATTTTGTCCATAGCTTGTGATTCTGTCCACTGCCAAGCTCTGGTCAAACCTCCCATGATGCCAGGGGAGGTGGCTCGTATTGTGAAGACTTCCGATGGGTGCTGTGATAAGTCTGAGTTGGTTTGTAAACCAGAAACCTGTTCGATCCACCCCCTAACTTGTACCCCTCCTCAGCTTATGAAGAATATCAACCCAGGGGAATGCTGTCCAACATTCCAGCGTGGTATGTACCTAAAATTCAATTGGGACTTATAGGAGTTGGGATGGGATGATCATTTTTTTTCTTTTGCTGCACAGCAAATTAGTCCTTGTATAAGTTAGTCAAGTTAAAATCAAGTATTTTAAGATTTTTTTTAATCATTAAAATAATGGCATGATATTTGACTAGAATAAAATATGAACACAGATATGATCATAAACGGATATTTTAGTAGGGAGATTTGCTAATTTAAAAAAAATGGTTCTAAATTGTCTGTCAGAATATTTAGATATAAATTCATTTATTCATATTAAGTGAAATTCAAATTTTTCAGTATAATATATTGGAGGTTAAAATATTTAATGCTGTATGAATGCTTCTCGTTATAGAGTGCCCAGCAGTGTGTCCAACTGCAGTTAAACCAACATGTCAAGACGTAAGTATTATTATGTAACATTATTATTTTAAATCACAACTCTCATAATTTAGAAAAAAACCCAATTAACTGCTCTTAAGGATCCTTTAAATGATATTTTTAGGGAAAAGATGCAGTGCCAGTAGTTATTACTTGTAATTGTACCAGTTATACATTTGGTATGTATTAACAGTAACTGTACCAATAACATGTGGTTAGTGCTACTAGTAATTTACCAGTTACACATGTGGTCAGTACTAACAGTAATAGTACCAGTTACATATGTTGTAAGTACTAGCAGTAATTGTACAAGTTACACATGTAGTTAGTACCAACAGTAATTGTACCAGTTACATATGTGGTAATTACTAATAGTAATTGTACCAGTTATGCATGTGGTGAATACTTACAGTAATAGTACCAGTTACACGTGGTAGGTACTAACAGTAATTGTACCAGTTACTCATGTGTTTAGTACCAACAGTAATTGTACCAGATACAAATGTGGTAAGTACTAATAGTAATTGTACCTGTTATGCATGTGGTAAGTACATGTACTAACAGTAATTGTCCCAATATTACACATTTGGTAAGTAATAACAGTAATTGTACCAATTACACATTTGGTAATACTAAAAGAAATTGTACTTATTACACATTTGGTAAGTACTAAAAGAAATTGTACTAATTACACATATAATAAGTGCTACAGTTTGTTATTTACATATATGCATGTAGTGTGCACCACATTAAAATACCAGTTTTCATATGGTAAACATTACTGTATTTTTACCAGACACACATGTAGTAAGTACAACAAATAGTATTTTAAATATGGCTCTTTCAAATGATGTAGCTGCTATCCAATATCTCTATACACTGTAATTTACATATACACTGTAGTTATAATACATTTACTGTTTTAATGTATACTTTACTCCACTATGATTATGGGTTGATCATGACTCATTGTGTTTCTAGTGAGCCGTGTCCCGTTAGACTATGGACCAGTAGTCTGTTGGTACAAACACTCTAATGGTTCAAGCCTTTCCTACAAGGTGAAACTTAAGACAGTTTGAAAGTATTTTCTTAGATCCTTAAAATAATCCTTTTAAAAGGAATCTTCTGTGATTTAACATAAAAACGAAAAAAATATGTAAGGTTAGGTATATGCTACCTATTATGCTAACATCAAATCTTGAAAAAGTTTTCAATATTGTCAAGTTGCATTAATCACATGTGATTTTTTTTTCACAAAATTCCATTTTATTAGATGAATAATTATATAATTGTGTATAATCAAACATACGAATTCAAACTTTTTGAAGTACGTGTAAATTTTTTTCCTCCATTTTTAATGGAAGAAGTTGTATATCCTATTTCTAGGGTACTGACTAATATTTTTGTGCCTACATCATGTGAATGAAACCTGGACAGATGGAGTATGTAAATCCTGTTAATGTGAGAAAGACTGGGAGGAAATGTCGAGACTATGTCACCGAGAGAGATGTAAAGCTTGCCCTCTGGTGAGTATTAAACTAAGGAGATAATTGAATGTGAGAGTTCAGTAAAAGGGGTCGGGGAGGAGAGTATGACTGGGAGAGATGTAAGGCCTGACCTCTGGTGAGTACTAAACAAGGGAGATTACTGAATGTGAAATTCAGTGGGAGGGATTTTAGAGACCGTATGTCATCTATAGAGTTGTAAAGCCTTTCATTTTGAGACTATTGACCAAAGGAAGATAATTGGGAGAGATTGTTAAACAACACAAAAATCACCCCCAAGATGAACAAGAGGGAGATATAAATTTTGTGAGAAATATTTCCAAAAAAGAGGATAATTTGCATAGCTAAGTTTGTTTCAATTTTTTAAAAGCCTCATGCATTCAACTTCTTTCAAATATTTAAGTGGTGATTTGTTTGAACACAGGGCACAACTTTAGACAACAGAGACAATAACATTTACAAAAGGGAAATATAAATTTTGTGAAAAATATTTCCAAAAAAGGGGATTATTTGCATAGCTCAGTTTGTCTCAATTTTTTAAAAGCCTCATGCATTCAACTTCTTTCAAATATTTAAGTGGTGATTTGTTTGTACACAGGGCACAACTTTAGTCAACAGTGACCCTAACATTTACAAAAAGGAAATATAAATTTTGTGAAAAATATTTCCAAAAAAGAGGATAATTTGCATAGCTCAGTTTGTCTCAATTTTTTAAAAGCCTCATGCATTCAATTTCTTTCAAATATTTAAGTTGTGATTTGTTTGTACACAGGGCACAACTTTAGACAACAGTGACCCTAACATCTGCTGTGGTACATGTAAAGAGACAGGGTGTGTGGTGGATGGACATGTTTACAGGGTAAATACTGCTGACACAATCAGAGGAATGAATAATGAGTGATTGTTAATATTTTATCTTCATCAGATTGAATTAATGTCATTTTACTGTGCATATTCAAATATACAGTAAAAATACTTGGCATGCTCAATCAATTATTGGTGCGCATTTTCCAAGTCAACATTTAGGTGAAAAATTTAACTTTTGAAAGTTTCTTGATTACTTTTAAACAAATTTATGTGGCAAAATTATGTGGAATTAATCTTTGATGACTGTTAGAACAATTTCGTACAGTACGGAGTACTCTAACCTTTCTTGTTTAACAATTTTGTATAATTATTGCAGAATAACAGATTCTAAACATTAAATGATAAATTTTGTTCACAGGAACGAATAAGAAATATTGTTCATGTGATTTCTTTATTACCCTAGGATGGAGAGAAAATACCAAATGCAATAAAATGCTATACAAAGACTTGTTCAGCAAGTTCATCTGGCTTCCTTATAAAGGAAACACAAATACAATATCACATTGCCAATCTCCCAGCTTGCAAAGGGGTAAGTTAACTTCCTGTTTGGAACAAATTCAAATTTAAAACATTTGGTGTTCAGTGTTTCTCAGGTTAAAATGTTTATATGATTTTTTAGTACGTTCAATATTTGCATGTTGTAACTGCAAAAGCAAGTCATATTAAAAATTTAATTTTAATGTCATTAATTTGTTTTCAGAATACAACAGTGTATGACCAGTCAGGATGCTGTCCTATATGTATATTAACACGTATAAGTTTGAATTACTGTAACTCTGGAATTTCCTTGTAAACCATAAACACATTTTATTATCTTTATTCAGGGAAATACAGTGTACATAAAAAAAATAGAATATTTTGAATAACATTTTTTATGGACAAAACTAATAGACTTTAAAGCTAAGATTACCTTAGCAAAACTTGATTATACTGAATTTTATTGTTTTTTTTTTTCAGCCACAAGTTCCAGCCTTGTTGGCTCCAACAATAGCTGTTTAACTTGCCAACCCACTCTACAGTTTGGAAATCCAGTATTGACAATAGGCTATTTCACGCTCACAGAAGGAACTGTGACATGTAGAAACGAACAACCAGTAGCCGATCTCATGCAATGCTCGGGTCATTGTGAGTCCCAGGCTACCTATACAAATGTTATGAAGGGCTTCACAAATAAGTGTATTGTTGCCAGCCTATACGAACTGTTACAAGGAGTGCCGTTCTTACGACTGTTCCTGAAGTGTGCGGATGTAGAGCTTGTACCAGTGGAACCTGATTGGAAGATTACAATTAAATCTCATTCGCCCCCGTTTATGACCAGTATTTAGTTTAATGAACATATTTTATACAAAGACATGTTTTTTTATGAATATATATTTTTAACTTCTCATCCTAAGTTGTATATATATTTTTATGCTATTTTGTTGTTGTTCATCTTCAATCTCATGTTATATATATATGAATGCAACTGTTACAATTTTTAATTATTATTTAGATAATATTAATTATCTAGGTTCAAAAAAAGGATGTACAGGGATTAATGTACCCATGGTTATATTCAATACACCTTGAGATAGAGGGGTATATGGAATACAACCTGGGGTAATTACCTGTACACCTGTGAATGGAATTTATTTCCAAGGTAGAGAAATAAATTCAATACCCAGGTCCAATTAATGGTGTATCAAACTATTGATAAGATTTACTATGTGCTAAAATGTATCTTCGACCCCGACTTAGAGGGTGTTAGATAGAGGATGTTCACCAATCAAAACTCATGTTACAAATTACAAAGGAAATAAGGAATATTACAGACACAAAGGATGGATAGTTTAGATACTCAGCCTGAGTGGCATGTATTTTGGAATAAAGGATTGGAATCATTGATATGTTGCTTTAGTCTAAAAACAAATACAGATATCATTGCTATCAACAGTGCATGAAGTAATCTCCAATCATTTAGCTCCATTAGAAAGTTTGCAAGCTACCTGTCAGAAAAAAATCAAAATTATGAAAGTTTTGTGAGTTTAGCAAATGGCAGATAAACCTTCTCATGACAAATAGGGTTCACCTTATGAAACCTTTTTGTCTACTCCATCAGAGTCTTTTCATCTTATAAAACTTTTAATCATATAAAGGTGTGCATAATGAGCCCATTTAGTTCATTTTCAACATAAGGTACCTGCCTTATTTCTGCAGGAAAAATGTTCAAAGACAATGGACTATTTGTGAGCAGAAATCACTGTTGTTTACTTACATGGGGAAAATTAGT